CTCTGGGCCTCCTCCTTGTGACCCCGGTGGGGATGGAGTGTGCCGAGGTTTCTGGTGGGGATAGAGGCTGCCCCTGCTGCATGTAAGGAGGCTTCGTGTGCGGCTGCTTGCTGGCTCCTTGGGTGCAGCTGCCGGGTGTCACCCAGCTTTGCGTTCGGGTGCAGTCGGTACCCGGACAGAAGCGAGGGATGGGGTTTGGGGAGCTTGCTTGAGCTCCAGCTCGTGTATTTGAATTAACCGACCTATTTGAAGCGCTGGCTTTCCATAGCCCTCGCCTTCAGCCGAACCAGGGCAATGTGGAGCGCTCTCAGGAGCAGCTAATATTAACCAGCAGCAGCGCGGGGAGCAGCAGGACGCGTGTCCCGAGCGCAGCCTCATCCTGCTGAGCAGCTCCACGGGCGCCTGCGGTGGACGAGGGGGAGACGCCTCCCTCCTCGCGGCTCTGGCTGCTTTTCCTCCCAAACTGTGCTGCCCGGCGGCTGCCTGCGCTGAGCCCGGCCGTGCGCCTCGCTGCGGGTGCCTGTCGTGACGCTAACGCCGGCTGCCTTCCCTTCCGCGCGCCATTGAAACGGCGTTTTCCTCATCCTAGCCCGAGCGGACGCGGCCCGCGAGCCTTCGGCAGAGAGCGGCCCCCGAGGCTCCCGCGGGACGGGCGCCCCCGAGCAGCGCCGCCGAGCCGGCCCTGCCCTAGCGCAGCGAGGACGCGGAGGTGGCACCGCTGCCAGGGCGTCGCGAGCAGCGGCCCCCGAAGATTCGCTTTGACCCTCCTCTTCGGAAACGCGGAGAGCCGCCGATTCCTCAGCTTTTGCCTTCGCCGCCGCTTTGTGCCGCTCGCCGCATGGCCTCGGTGCCCGGTGAGGAGCTGCATCCTCCTCGGGGTGCCCATCTTGCGCTGCCGGGCTCAGGGAGCTGCTGTGGGGCGGCCGCCTGCGGGTGCCTCTGCCACGGGGCTCTTTGTGCCCGCACGGATCCCGCCTGCTCCCGGAGCCTCCATTTCTCTGAAATGCAGACCTGAGAATGCCCCGACCTGAGAATGCACCGACCTGATAATACCCAGATCTGATAATACCCAGACCTGATAATACCCAGACCTGATAGTACCTCCGTGCCCAGCCTCCCTGCAGGGCCTGTGCTGTGAGTGTTTGTGAAGCGCTTTGGAGTTGTTGCTTAAAACCCATAAAAGCAGAGAGCATAAAGGCATCGTGTCCAACTCAACCTGCCGCGGCCGAGGCGGCCGTGTCTGCGCCGTGCTGCCCGTTCGGAGCCGCGTTCCGCTCTCGCGTGCGGAGTTTGCAATGTAGGAAAAGTGGAAAAAGAAACAAAAGGTCATTTCCAACAAGATGCTGAAGGAAAAGGCACAACGTTGCCCTTTCCTGGGCCACGCGTCTTTGAATCCTTGTGCTGCGTGGGGCTGTACTCGTGCGGGCCTTGTGTGTCCCGCGCAGCGGCTCCTGCCCTTGGCCTCCCTCCGGCCTCCATCGGGGCCTCCCTCCAGTCTCCACGCTCGCAGGGGCTCTGCGGGCTGCACGTTCCCACTGTGCTCCCCGCGCTGGCGCCTGGGCTGCTGTGAGTGTGTGGAAATAGCCTGACAGAAGGAACTGCCAAGGTGACCAGCGGGCACCTCTGGGAAACCACAGAAGGGGTGAGGTTGGAAGGACCCTCTAGAGATCACCTAGTGCAACCCCCCTGCTCCAGCAGGGACACTCATTTGGCCCAGGGTGGCATCCAGGCGGGTTTTAAAGACCTCCTTCAAAACGCTCCATGAAAGCTCCAGGCTGGGCTGAGGGTGGCTGAGCCCTCAAAGGCTCTGCTTTTTCCCCACCGATAATGAGGTCCGTGATTCGGCCCCGAGCGCCACCAGGACCCGGGGACATTCCCGGAGTGCCCCGGTAGCCGTGCGGTTCCGCGGGGCCGGGAACGCAGCTCGGCCGTGTGTCGCGCCGGCCTTTTATACAACAAGGGAAGTGTTTACGTGTGTTGTAGCAACCGGCCCCTTGGTGCGTGCCCGGCCGGGGCCGAGCGCGTGACTCACCGCAGGGGAACTCGCGCCTCAAAGCCAAGGCAGAGCGAAAGAGACCATTAATGCTGCAAAGCCGCGGCCGGGCGGCCTGTGGCTCCGGGGCTGGCAGCGGGAGGATGAGGACGGCGGCTCCGGTGTTTGGGCGGCAGCCCGAGGTGCCTGCAAATGTCTGGAGTCCCTCCTGGATTCCATGCGCTCCAGGTGGCCGCAGGAAGGGAAGAGGCATCCCAAAGGCCGCGGCTGCCCCGGGAAGGGCTGGGATGCACCGGCGGATGCATTGAAAGGTGGTAAGGAAAGCAGAGCGTTCCCACAGATCAAAGGGGAGCCCTGCTGCCAGGGCCGGCAGTGGGAATGAGCGGATCGCTCTGTCCACACACACAGGCTCCTTCGGCCGCGGCCTCTGGGCTCTGTCCACCACAAAAGCTCCCTAGCGGGGAGACCTTTTCTGTGGGGCTAAAAACCTGTGGGAAACCTTGTTTGTCCCCTGTCTTGGTGCCAGCTGCATTCAGGGGGTCTAAAAGAACAGAAATAGTTTCCCTCTGCAGATTGGGAGCTCGCAGTCGAACGCCCCAAGACGCAGGGATGCCGAGACCTGGGATTTTGGACTCGCCCACGACAAGGGTCAGTATTTTCCTAGTAAAAATAGATTGCTGGGAATGCCAGATGTTAAAATCGTGGCTCATCTGAATGAGTCATGAAGGAAACAAACTCCCCACATGGCAGCACCCAGCCTTGGGTGGTGGGCATTTGTGTAACCCTGGGATCATTGGGGGTTGTCCCCGCAGGTCCCTTTATCCGTTGCCACCCGGCCACGCGAGTCCGGCGCTGTGGATCCTTCGTGCACCGGCTGTCCGGGGAATGAGCCGGGCGGGTAGGATCCAGCCAGGATCCGCTGGAGTTGGGATCTGGCAAGCGCCTCAAATCCTGCAGTGCAGGAGCTCCACCAGCTGCTCGTGCCCACGGTGACAACCAGCGATCCTGTGGAAAAGACAGGGAAAAAATGTAGGAATGACAGCGGGTGGAGCACGGAGACAGCTCCCCAGGGCCCCCAGCTGCTCCAGCGGCCCTTACATGGGCAGGTTCCCCTCTCACCGCCCGCTGGGATTATCAGAGCTGGCAGAGGGCCGGGGGGACCAGGAACCGTTCCCAGGCACAGCTGGAGAGAAACTCCAGGGAAGGGCAGCTCTCGGTGGGGCCCGATCCATGGAGATAGCTCCTGATGCTACGGGAGGGACAGAGCGCCTGTTGCTCCAGGTGTCCCTTAGCTTTCCCGGCTGCTGCTGACCGAGCTGCTCCACTCCACTCTGTCGGGACCGTGGGGAAGGGGGCGTTTGGGTGCTCCGAGCGGGCGCTGCTCCGTGCGGCCGGCGTGCGGCAGGGGCCGAGGAGCAGCTTGGGGCACGTGGCGCGGCGCGGCGGGGAGGCCACCGTGCCGCTCACGGCGCTCACGGGGGCAGCAAGCGCCTGCAGTCCCGGCTGCAGTCCCGGCTGCAGTCCCGGTTGTTCCCGCCTGCCGTCCCTCCTGCTCAGGGTGCAATCCCAGCTGTTCCCACAGGCCCTGGGGCGGCTCCAGCAGGCGCTGTTGTTCGGTGCGCGGCCGCCGCCTCCCGGCTCCATTCCCCCGACATGGTCACCCCGTGCCCAGGCAGGAGCATCCCTGCTCATCCCCATCCTGAGGGACGCAGGGCGGCTCTGCGGGATTCGGCCCGTGCTTCAAGCCCTCAGCTCCGCACTCAAGCCCCTGCGGCCACTGCTGTCCTGTTCCAAATCCCGTCCCGCTCCATTTCTTGTCCTGCTCCACATCTCATCCTACTCCACATCCCATCCCGCTCCACATCCTGTCCCGCTCTGCATCCCATCCCGCTCTGCATCCCATCCCGCTCCACATCTTGTCCCACTCCACATCCCATCCCGCTCCACATCTCATCCCACTCTGCCTCCCGTCCTGCTCCACATCTCGTCCTGCTCCACATCCCGTCCCGCAGCCGCCGGCGCTGCCTCCACCCGCGCTCATCCCAGCCGTTCCTCGCCTCTCTGTGCCCGCTCCGTAGGGTAAAGCATCCCAGGTACTAAATCCCGGGCGTGCAGCTGTGACGCTGCGCGCAGAGCTGGGCTATTTCCAGCGTGTCCCGAGAGGATATAGCGGTGATTCCTGGCAGCAGGGCCGCACGCTATGTGCCGCTTGTGTGAAAACCAATCCCGCCGCCCGCGCCGCCCCCGCACGGGCTCCGATCACCCGGGGACACTCGGCCGACGCTCGCCCGGTGTCCCCGGCACCCGCGGGCCCTGCCCAGGCCCCGGGCAGCCTCCCCTCTGCTGCCCCCGGGACAGCGGGGCCACAGTCTGCATCCCGGGAGGTTCCCGGGCCACCCGGAGCCGCGGGCCCTGGGCCGGCCGCTCCATGGCGGAGCTGGAAGCCGGTCGGTGCGGAGCCGCGCGGAGCGGCGCGCCGGGCCAGGCTGTGCTGCCACCTGCAGCCCAGCGAGCGCCCGGACGGCCCCTGCCCCGGCCGGCACCTTGGCTAACGTGGCACTGGGAGGACGGTGGCGCCGGGCCGGTTGCACGGGTCCTGCACAGAGCCCTGGCACAAGGATGCCCGACCGGGCAAGAAGAGCGGCCAAATCCCGCTCGGGTTTCTGTGGCTCCCCGTACTCCCCGCTCGGGACCTGCCAGTGCCAGAGCTCCGGCTTGGAGATAAGGTGGTGGGATGGAGGGGTCTGTGTGGTGCAGGGCTCTCCTCTCTGGCTGCTGCATCGCGGCAGGGTTTCGAGCCAGCCTGGAGGATGCAGAGCTTAAATCCAAGCTTAAATATAGCGCTAAGCTGCTGCCGGACAGCGTGGATCCTCTTTGGAGTCATTTATCAGGTGTCCTGAGAGGATAAGCCCAGGCTGAGGTCACCCGGGAGCCGTGGGTCCCGGCCGTGGCGCCGCACGGGGAGGCGGCACGTGGCCGTCTCACATCTCCGCTCTGTGTCTTGCAGGACGAGGTGAAGCTGCCTTCAAAACTGAGCATCAGCAAGTCTTTGACGGAGGGTGAGAAGCAAGAGAAGGAGGGAGAAGGTGAGGAGGTGCCTGCAGGTGAGGACCACGCGGAGGAGGACCATGTCCAGCTCTCCTCGGACGAAGAGGTGGAGATTGAAGAGATTATTGAGGAGTCCCGGGCCGAGCGCATCAAAAGGAGCGGCATGAAGAGAGTGGATGACTTCAAGAAGGCCTTCTCAAAGGAGAAGATGGAGAAGACTAAGCTGAAGACCAAGGAGAACCTGGAGAAGACCCGCCACAACTTGGAGAAGACCCGCCACAACCTGGAGAAGCGGATGAACAAGCTGGGCACCAAGATTGTGACCAACGAAAGGAGAGAGAAGATGAAGACTTCTCGGGACAAGCTGCGCAAGTCCTTCACCCCCGACCACACCATCTACGCCCGCTCCAAGACGGCCGTCTACAAGGTGCCGCCCTTCACTTTCCACGTCAAGAAAATAAGGGAGGGCGCGGTGGAAGTGAAGGCCACGGAGCTGGTGGAGGTGGGTGGCGAGGAGGCCGAAAACTCGGATCTGCTGCGTGGGGAGAGCCCCGAGATGCAGACGCTGCTGGAGATCACGGAGGAGTCGGACGCGGTGCTGGTGGACAAGAGCGACAGTGAGTAGGAGAGGCTGCAGCAGAAGCCTCGCACCGCCGGCCGGACACGGAACCACTCGCGTTTGAGATGTCTCTTTGCCCCGGCGCCTCGGGGAGCCCACGCGCCGCATCGCAGCCCGCCCCCAGGACCACGTCTCTTCGGTATTTTAGCTTTAGCACCGCAGACGCTCGGAGCTCAGCGCCGCTTCCTCACGCGCCCCATCCCCGCGGAGCCGCTTCCCACCGCGGCGGAGCTGCCCGCCCGCCCACAGGGCTGATCCCGACGTGACGGAGCGCACCCGGAGAGTGCCGGAGTGCACCCGGAGCGTGATGGAGTGCACCCAGAGCACACCCGGAGCGTGCCATGTGGGAGCCGGGAGCAGAGCGCCGCTCGCCCCGGCCGCCTCGCCGGCTCCCCAGCACGGCACACACCGGGATGCCTCCCGCCCCGGCGGGAAGGGCCGTGGGAGCAGCCGTGACGCTGCAGGGCCTCAACCCGAGTGACCCAGGAGCCCCGGCGCCGCACGGTCCCGCTCCACTGCACGTGCAGGAGGCCACACGGGGTGTCCTGGAGGCCATGTAGGGGATCCCGGAGGCCACGCGGAATGTCCCGGAGCCCCCATGGGGTGTCCAGGAGCCCCCATGGGGTGTCCCGGAGGCCACGTGGGGTGTCCGGTGCCCATGTGGTCTGTCCCGGGAGGCCACGCGGAGTATCGCAGAGCCCACGCGGAGCATCCCAGAGCCCACGCGGGGTGTCCTGGAGGCCACGCGGGGTGTCCGGAGCCCACATGGCGTGTCCCAGAGGCCACGTGGAGTGTCCCAGAGGACACGCGGGGTGTCCCAGAGGCCACGTGGAGTGTCCCGGGGCCCACACGGGGCATCCTGGACCCCACGCGGGGCGTCCCGTCCCATCCCGTCCCTGCGGCTCCGCGCCGGCGGCCTCTCGCTCACAGCGCTCCCCTCACACGTAACCTGCTTGGCCACGGCCGGCTCCCCCCGTCCCGTCCCGTGCCGGGGCGCGGAGCGGGGCCCGGCGCCAGCGGCGCCCGCGGGGCTTCGGCGACGCTTTAACGTTTTCTACGTCTGCATCCTGGTGAGCAGCGCGACTAATAAAGTCTCTTTTGTAAAGGAGCAGCGTGCAGCGAGTTCCTGGGGACCGGGAGGGACGGGACGGGACCGGGGGCTCATCCCGCCCCCGCGGCGGGAGCCGGGCCGGGCCTCGGGGCCCGGGCAGGGCTGAGCTCTGGGCAGGATGGGTGCTGGGCTCG